GGTGAATGCAATCTAGAGCTTCTGCATGGTCTTGCCGATCATCTACTACGCTTGCTCCACGAGGTACTCATGGCCGATCTGCCATGAACATACTGCGCCGCCACCTTGCTTATCGCCAACATCCTCCATTGTTTCCAAGACAATCAGTGCCTAATACAAGGGCCTCGCATATGGCAGGTAATCTTTGCAGCATGACTGGCGAATAAGAACCAGTACGCCTGCACCACAAAGCTGCATCGATGTGGCGCTGTATGAGCTGAACCCCAAACGTGGGCATGGCGGCATAAGCTTACCATTTCTTGATAGCGGGCTGTCTGTGCTTATCACGCTTGGGAGGAGCGGCACTATACAGCGGCTGACCAAAGCGGAAATCCCTTATATATCCATAGATATCTAGGTTACTCAGACCTGAGCATTTCGCCGCATTGTGAAACACTGCGATTAGGGCTCATCTTCGGGTACTATATGCTTCAGCCTCAGCCTCAGCCTCGCGATGGCGTACCAGCAACTACCCAAATTACAGCACAACGTGGAAGTGACGCCGGTCAACGAGGACTACACTCCGCCTTCGTCCACCCTGCAAAACTATGAAGAGATACGAGACTTCGATTTCAGCCCCACGAGTCCACGTTCGACTGTTAAATCACCTTCTATCAAGAAGCATGTAACGCATTGGAGTTCGTCTACCAACAGCACGGCTGTGACGTCGTCAGAGGTATGTAGCACAAAGTCTGACAGCAAGGCTGGCGCGTCCCGTGCGCGGTCTTGGGCCTTCGAGATCATGGCTGTCGCAATCGGGCTGGGTGCTGTCGCCGCTATTGTCGGCGTGGTAGCCAAATACAATGGACACGCATTGCCAGACTGGCCTTATAGCATAACTTTGAACGCTCTCATTGCCCTGTTGGCTACTTTTGCAAACGCTGCAATGTCGGTTTGCCTGTCGAGTGGACTATCGCAGGCGAAATGGATCCGTTTCAAGCAGACATCGGCTCCATTGTCTGACATGGAGGCCTTCGATGACGCTAGTCGTGGTTCGTGGGGCTCTATCAAACTGCTGGCGACTGCCAGAGGAGGGTACATTTCTCAGCTCAAGACATGGTTGACAGATGACTGACGAATGCTCGATCAGATTTCTCGGGTCTTTCGGCGCTATCGTCGCTGTCATAGGTCTCGCCCTTGGACCTTTCGCGCAGCAGATCGCAACTTACAAAATTCGTAACGTGGAAAGTGACTTTGGCGCCATCATGCCTAGAGCCCTCAACTTCACCCCTGCGTTACCGGGTAACACCAGCACGAGTAAGTCCCATCAAGCGCATTTCGATATCATTCGTTGACGTAGGTTTCTAGCGGGTTTCGTGCCAATTCTCCCACTTAAAGCCGCAGTCTACAACGGCTTGTTCGCGGAGAACAATAGACCTGCTGCGTCACTACCATTCAAGTGCCAGAGTGGTACTTGCACCTGGGAACCCTTCGAGACGCTCGCTGTTTGCCATGAGTGCACAGACATCACTCCGCTCATGACGCGCTATTGTCCAGCTGAATTGGGCGCATCGCCAAACATGTCCTCATGCGGATGGCAAGTACCACAAGGAGCTCATCGTAAGTTTCACATGTGCAAACTACAGATTGGCGGGTACTTATTGCTTACACTGTTTTTTAGTCAACACGAGCTCCGATGTATTCAGTATGACATCCTTCATCCCGTCGGCGTATGGCGACATGCCCCACTCCACGATAATCCGACTCATCTTCATGGGTACAGAGCTTCAAGATACACCCAACGCTCTGAACCCTTGGGCGTCACAATGCAGCCTGCAAGCATGTGCAAATACGCTGTCCGCATCGGTCACAAACGGTACGCACCAAGAGAATGTCACGCACTCTGTTCTCAACCACACTGTCATCGACATGAGCTCCCCCGATCCTGCCGCCGACTATGGTGTTTACATCACTGGCAAGTCCGATGACACTGCGTACTTGCTCGGCATGGAAGCGCTTTTGAGCATACGCGGATGGTTTAGTGCAATCTTTACCAACGGTTCCGCCACCCGTACAACTAGCGATTTCACCCGAAGCGTCACAGACCCAGACCGTGCTGTAGTTGTCAATCTCACAGTTGGTATCTCATCAGGCGAGACTTTCTTCGACACGGATATTGTCACAGCGTTCTACTGGAACTACTACGAGTACGCCGACGGACTCAATATGCTTATGAGCGACTTGGCCGTATCTATGACAACCGCTTTTCGCGGCTTCAATGGCGCTGTGGATACGAACGGCAAGTCGATAACGGTAGAGTCCTATGTCCACATCCGGTGGGGTTTTGCTGTCTTACCGATCGCGGCTGTCGTGGCCACTCTGGTCTTCTTGCTCGCGACGATGACGATGACGCATACGTCTGGTACGCAAGTGTGGAAAAGCAGTGCGCTTGTGCCGTTATTACACGGCTTGGATCATCATACTAAGGAGAGGTTCGGTACTAAAGATAGTTTGCCAGCTCAGAAGAGACAGGCAAGAGCGGTAAAGGTCAAATTGTTTACTGATAATCGGGATAGCACAATGCTTGGAGCAGAGAAGGCTGCATGCTAGTTTGAAAGGCGATGGTGATCATGCTTCGATAAGCAAAACAACACCTCACTCAATACAATCTTTGGGTTATACCCTACTTTCGCGATCAATATCCTTGCTCTTTCTCCCCTCGCTACTGATGTCACTTTCTGTGTCGCTGAGCAATCCATTCCAAGCATCATCATCGACGCTATCCCTATCGTCTTCTCTCCCAACGTCCTTCTCTACCTTGACGTTTACGAACAACATCCATAATCCAATATCGTAGGTGATCCTACAGATACTCGTAGCCACGAAGGCCACCCAGAAGTTATCGCTACCGGAGAGGAAGCCTGTGATTGATGGCCCGACGCTCATAGCCAACGTGCGCAGCATACTAGTGATGCCCATGACACCCGTACGCTCTTCAGGCTTCACGACTGCTGCAATGAAAGCTGTACGCGGTGCTTGATCCATGCTATTGAGAGAAGCTCGGAATAGCAGTAGGCCTACTGTCCAACCGACTTTTGACGGTAATGGGATGAAGCCGCTGGCGATCGATGATGGGAGGTGAGTGAAGACCATGGTGTTGATGAGACCTATGCGTTTGGCCAATGGTCCGGCGAAGATAGCCCCAACTGCACAGAGAAACTGCGAAGCCGAGGTGATATCCCCAAGCGTTGACTTCGAGACGTGGAACTTTTGGTCGACGTAATAGTTCATCAAGGAGTAAGGCGTCATGCCGTCTGCTAGACTGTCAACAGCTAAGAGGATCCAGAGCTTGTACATGACGGATCGTGTACTCTGCGAGATCTGACTAAAGTAGCTTGCTTTCTTTTGCGATGGCGGATTCCTGACACCCGCTGGTCTTCCTACGTGCTCGCGGTCTTGGTCGAAACCGTCCGTGGTGCTGGGTGTCATCGCCTCCAGTAGCACTTCTTCCTCTTCGCCATGGTCCCCACCACGTCCTCGCTCTTGCATCTCCGCCCGCTTCTCACCTGCAGCCTCGCATCTGCTACTCAAACCCAGACAAAGGATGCTCCCAAGCACTCCGAAGGCTGCATAGCCCCAGAACAGGGCATGGTATGCCTTGGTCACATTACCGCTGCTCTTCTCGAGAGCATTTACCGTTCTCCCTGCGACTTCTGCGCCAATGGCCCCTGCCAATGTTGTCGCTGTGACATACCACGAGAGTACATCGCTTCTTGTTGTCTCGTCCGTTAGGCCACTCAACATGCTCTCCTCGACAGCCCTAAAAGGACCACAGTCAGCACCGGTGACAGAAATGATGCCGAACACCGCCGCAACCAAAAGAATGAAAAAGTTCTCCGACAGCGCAAATGCGACGCCTGAACAAGCCATCATCACACTGCCCATGAACAGAATCTTTCTCCTGCCTATTTTGTCCGCCACGAGAGTAAGCAGCAATGACAATAGGACATCTCCGAGCAATGTCAATGTCATGAAGACCCCAATCCTCGAATCCGGAAATTTGAGCGAGGAGAAGAAGAGGGCGAGAATCAGCGACGGAATGCCGGCCGTGAACATTCTCAACGATCGCAGTGTGATGATGATGTATGCATCTCGTCCAGTCGCGTTGAGTGATGTGATGCCGAGAAATCCAGCGATCCGCGATATCGCCGTCGGAGCCATGGTGGCAATGTTGGACTGTGCCGCGTGTTGGATCAGAGAACGCGAGTTGACGTTTCGTAAGAAGGCAAACTCAACGTCAACTGCTTATAGATGTCGAAAAGAAAAGATGAAGAGAAACGGAAAAGCACGGAAAAGATCTCATCCTACAAAAGACTGGTGACCACCCGCGTTGCTAGTGTGGGCGTTAAACCCGAGACGGGTTTAAGCTTGGAAGCTACATCTTGCCTGACTCACCTGTGGCGCTGCCTGCATACGCGCGACGCCATCAAACCGCGTTCTAGATCATTTTTGAGAGACCTTAACGGCGTTACTACCGACATTTGCTGTGCTGGTTTGGAGATGCTGCGCGGCCGAGTCTGCCCCGCGGTGAAAGTGGGGCCAGGTTTCGTCATCGCCAGGCTCCTGCGCTTTCGAGAGCGCGTCGCGTGCCTACAGCAACAGTGTTACCCACCCGATACGTGAAGTGAACGCATCTCAAACAAACAACATTTCGACAACGACGGATATTATTAGTCTTCGTAGGCTTGTGGGTTCGTACACGTAATCGAGGGAAATACTTTATTACAATGTCGCGTTTCACTATCGTCGCCGTGGGCAGTCGTTCCTCACGCGATTAGATGCTCACCTACGTCAAGTGAGGTGACATGGTGAGGGTGACTAGTGAAGGGGAGAGTAGAGCTTGATACAACAATACCTAGATAGGAAATCTGCTAGCCCAACGAGGCTTTGCAATTCCACTCCTTGGGCCACACCCAGACACTCCAGGGCTTTTGTTCTTTTTCTACCACCCCACCGAGCCTATGGCTACCACACGATCAGGAAAAGAATTCGACTCGAATTCCGGTATTCAACAACAGTACGCTCAGTCGGCTCACCACAAGCACAACTCAATCACCGACATGTCTCCCAAGGATATGTCATTCGCAAAGGCATTTGACGAGCTCTTACCACTCGAGATCAAGCAGATAATCTTCAAATGGGCAGCGAGCGACAACAGTAGCGACATTCAGATCAGGCTTTTGCACGATAACGAAGGCCAGCTTCATGCACCAGCTGTCGACCTCCTCACGAAATTGAAGGACCAGTACTCAGCCAAGGCGTATCATCAGGCCGTGGAGTATCTTACAGGATCAACGTTTCGGTGGACCTTCAGCAGCGATACACAGCCACATCGATACCTTCTCCGTGCTTTCCGAAATTCGGTCCCAATGGAAGTTCGACAGCAAATCAAGCATGCCTATCTGCCTCGGGTCACCGTGTATGGTCTCATCAATCCGGCGACTCAGTCCACAAGCTTCGAGCATCTACAAATGGTGAGCCCGTCCATACTGATGCCCTATTCTGATTACTTCACACGACTGGGAGCGATGACGACCTATGAAGAGCTCTTTATTGTTATGCGGATCAGGAACGACATTGCAGGAGGTATACAGCTGCTACCCATTACGCTTCCTTCGCTCAAGAAACTGGATCTCAGTCTTGACATCATCGACTGCTGGCGAAGAGACCCAGAACGAGCCATACGGGTTAGAGTGACTCGCTCTGAAGATTGGATGTATCTGCTTCAATGTTCACCGCTTCCAGCTGGGGTTGGAGCACTTGCAAACCTCGCAGGGATCGCCAACCTCGATATTCGCGTTATCTGGGATGACTTCCTTGACAAGAAACGGAATTTTGCAGGCACATACAGTGGGGAGATTGAGAAAAAGGCCCACGTCATATTTATGGAGGCGTTACGTTCAAGTCTTCCTGCTGCGAGGAGCATTGTCGGCCATTCAGACAGTTCTTTCGTCTGACCGGTAGCCTCTGCTTCACTTGGATGCATTGATCACGGCTTGGGGATCAGGTTTTCCTTCTGTAGCGCGTCACGTGGAATAATGGGGAATGGATCACTTGTATGGCCATCCCAGTTTTACGGACTGCAGGGCGAGATGCGAACGCTGCAACTGCTTAACGGCTGATTAGGGCGGTATGTGCTCTAGAATTTGGTTCAGCATTAAGCACCATCTAGGGCATAACTGCGACATCCCCGACAGCCTGCAATTTTGTTCCACTTCCTTGTCACCTGGGGACTCGAGTTAATGAAACATCAGCTAGCGACGAGGAAAAAACAACATGGTTCATTTTCATTTGAAGAGATGAGTGGCACAGCGAAGTATGTAGCTCTCCCCAAATGTTCGTAGATATTGGCCTATAACATACTCTGCGATATGCCAAACCGTCTCATCAAATGCAAGCCAACGTCCGGTCTGTGACTTCCCCTCAAATTCAGCTACCCGCCTAGTATCCGTACAAGTTAACACGCTCATTCGTCGACGCCTTAAGCCTCTGGTTCTCCTTGATGAGCATCACGCGAATCGCCCAGGCACAAGCGATCGACAACAGCGCGAATCCAGCAGATGCACCGAATCCGATTCCGTATCGAGGCTTGTCGGTGTCCGGCCAGAGGTAAGCGCCGTAGATGTATCCGATCTGGCCTCCGACGTTTGTCATTGCCAAAACGACAGCTTTCTTCTCTTTAGTCTGACTGAGGGTCGAAGATGCCCAACCGATGATGACGGAGTTGACGGAATACGCGCCCATGGGGAAGATGAAGCAGGCAACGTATCGACCCGCTGTGTTCATCGTGCTGGCAGCGATGACGAATCCGACAATGGCGACTAGTAGTCCACCAGTGATATGCCAGGTGCGCTCATGCATACGTCCTGAACTCCAGCCTGTAGCGATACCTGCCGCGCCGGCAAGCAGGAAGGGAGGGCAGGTCAGTAGAAGAGTAATCGTTGTGTTGAAACCGAGGGTCTTGATGACACTACCATCATCGTCAGCGAGATTTCTCGTGAGTATTAGAATGTACTCACGTTGGGAAGAAAGAGTTGAACGAGCAAGCACTGAGATGGAAGTTCTGCATGAGACAGAACAGCCACGTCCTCTTGTCGCGGCACGCTTGCCTAAGTCCCTCCATCATGCTGACAGGCTCGGTGGAATCGCCGACTCGGTCACGCTCCATACGTGCATGGGCGAGTTCGCGCTCGCGTGGGTTAAGCCAGCTCGTGGTAAGTGGGGTGTTGGGAAGCATGAAGAAACCCCAGATGGCGACCAATGCGGTTACGGCTCCTTCGCTATTAATACATTAGCGATATGTATATTCAGGCAATAGAAGGTGAACTTTCATGATAAATAGCCAACGCCAGCCTGAGATGCCTCGGGCGCCATCCAGTTGGAACACTCCGGCTGCGATCAATCCACTGAAGCCTGTGGCCAGAATCTGCGCACAGTATAGCAACGCGATACGTGTCGCAACTTCCTTCCTGGTGTAGAAGATCGAGAGCATGTACGTGGCTCCAGGGTAGAAGGGTGCCTCAGTAATACCCAGGAAGAATCGGCATGCGACCAGTCCGCCGAAGTTCTGAACCAGCGCTGTGCAAGCTGATACGATGGCCCAGATGAACATCCAACTGCTCATGTAGATACCGGGACGAATCCTAGTAATAAGCATGTTACTCGGAATTTGCATAAGCACATATCCCACGAAGAGACTGCAAGAAGGTTAGCCTGTCCGTCACTATTGCTCCTCGAGTATGAGCGAGTTTCCGTGTAATACTAACATGCTAACACAAGTGTTGAACTGGACGCCAGACATTCCTAAATCCTCTTCCAGATTGTTCAGCCGCGCTTGAGCGATGGCATTGCGATCAACGTAATTGAGGAAGTACATGACGCATAGTGTTGGCTACGATCACATTAGCAGTTTTCCTACGTCTGTATTCGCAATACGTACCATCAATCTCCAGTCAATCTTCCTGACGAGCGCAATCTCTTCTGGGTCTGTCTTCGCCTCTGCGCCGGTGTAGTCCACAGCACCAGCATGCTTATCCGGACCAAGCTCACTCTTGTCTTCCAAGTGCGCCACGATCGTGGGCTTCTCGTCTGTCGGCTCGACTACGGGTTGGCGTTTTGTGTCCATTTTGGCTGAAACTTTCGAGCGTCTCTCTCGAAAAGGTCAACAGGTAGAACGTGCCGGCATGCAGAGGGCATGCGCTTTCCTTTTGAATGCATGATGGGTGGCATGGTATGTTCACACGCATGTTCCAATCAACTGCTTGGCGTGGTATTGGCACAGGATCTCACCAAGACTTTTCCCCGCACCGTGCTACAATATAGCAAACATGCGCGCTCCGCTTGTTCAGCCACTAAGCTTGGCCTGCAGATCTTATCGTAATATACGGTCAGAATGAACACTATCCAAGACTTCTCGGTCGCATTTTTGACGCCGATCAGCAGATTGTGTGTGGGATTCCTGGTTCTAGGTTCGCAAGCGGCGCCCTTTGGCTGGGAATCTGGGGAAGAACTGGAGCCGACAACGTGCTTTTTGTGGAGAGATAGCGAACTATTGGCGGCGTCGTTGTGCGCTGTCGCATAATGTGTTCCGTTGGCGGCTGGCGATAAGTTCTCCAGCTGGGAGGTCATACCGGTCGGAAGCGGTGCAACGGTTGGCGGACGTCACGCGATCGCATATCCCCGTGGTTCGCGCGACTTGCTTTTGTCACGGTGCAGAACATCTGAGCTCCGAATGCGCGCAAACGTAGTATTCTGGTATATAGCCCATCAATCAACTGAACAACGTGCGTTACCTTACTCGTGTAGATGCCCCCGTCTATCCAGGACTCTAGGTGTCACCCCAATTACCCGGAGGTTGATAAGTCACCGTCCCATTCCGCTCCTAACAAATACGAGCGAACTTATACTCCACCTGCCCGTTTCTAATTGCCGGAAAGACGCCAGCGTCGATAAGTCGGAATGCATCCCATTCAGCCGCACCCTCCGTCTTGAAGTTCCACCAGAACCAGCCCTGAGTCTTGCTCTCGAAAGCGGCGATCTGGGCTTCAATGTAACGTCGGCTGTCGTCCTTGTAGGAGGCTGACCACCGTGATAGGTCGTTTTGCCAATCGCAAGATCCAATCCTGGAGCTGCCTGGGAGGGTTCCATCGTAGCGGGCGCCACGGTCGAAGCCGTTGAGGTACTTTGCGCAATCCCTAGTACACGTTAGTAGACGTCTTGTAAACTGTAAGAATGCGGACTGCTCACGTCATAGCCGATGTCCACTCGCCAACAAACGTCCATTTGTCCGCACCGCCGATAGTCTGAGAGTTACTGCAAGCGTAGCGTGCGTGGTCCGCGGGTGACATGCGGAGGAGATTGCTGTCAAACACTTGATATTCGTGGTGGTCAACCGCGACGTTCACCGCGTTCGCATCCGAAGGAGTGAGGAAGGCGTTCCACGTGTTCGGAGGCTTGAACCCGTCGTGAATGATGACTGGGGTGTCGGAAACCTCACGAACCTGACCGTAGCCATCGCGATAGAACTGCCTGGTCACGTCTTCGCTGATGCCAGTGTACAACGCGGGCTCGTTGAGCAGTTGGATACCGACAACGACGTCCTGATACTCTGTTCGAGCATACTTTTGCGAGATTGTCCGTAGAACTTGGACAGTCTGCTTTACGGTGTCGCCACGTTGCCATCCAGGGTAGTCCATTCGTTGGCCGGAGTTGTCGAATCCGTTTTGAGAGCCTGGTGCACCATGGAGGTCGATGATGATCTTCAGCCCTAGACTTCGAGACCAGTCGATGGCAGCGTCGATGTAGACACTCGCACCGCTGACGTAAGGTGTACCAAAAGTGTCGTATGCCCAGAACCCGATGGGGATACGAACGACATTGAAGCCTGACTGCTTGATCTTGTTGAAGTCGTGCCATGATACGAACGAGTCCCAGTGCTTGCGTAGGATACTTCCCGCCGCATCTCTACCAAGCTTCTCGCCCAATGTGTATTCGTCAACGATGTCCCTCTGCGGACGGCCTTGGTTCGCTCCATCAAAGATAGAAGGCGTAATCCAACTGCGTAGAGATAGTTAGCAACACAACTGGGTGGCGATTGGTGACGAAGACTCTCGGGAATACGTACGGTTCCAAGACCAACCATCCACCAATGTTAACACCACGAATCTTGTCAGACCCCCACTTGAAGTCGACACCGCGCTTCTCTCTTTAGATGGGTTAGCGGTTGCGTCATATGTGCGTTGGGACGAAAGGAGTGTCGAATGCGGAAGTGACTGCTCTATCGCCGGAAAAGGAAAGACGTTCTCTTCCGCATCGTCCGCGTGACTTACGTTGGAGCTGCAATCGCGGCGGCGCATAGCGATAACGCAGTAAGTGCACGACTGATAATCATGTTGTCGGGTAGTATTGTTGGAAATCAAGGGTAGCAGTACGAGCTCTGAAGATGCGGTGGCGCTCAATCCAAATAAGATGTGATGGTATGTCTGTAGATGGGACCAAGTGAGTGCATTTAACAAGTTGCCGAGCGAACACTGTGGATGCGGCCAAGGTGGAGTTTGCGCGCTTTCCTGGAGGCAGCGAACTCGATGGAGTCGCGACTGCTGTGTTATGGCCATGTGACGGATATCCTCTAGTCCGAACTGGGCATCTAAGTTGGTAAGCCCACGGGACTCCTGGGTTGTGATTGGTGTTGGACCCTTCGATCTAACTAGAAACGCAATCTGGGGGATTGTAGTGAACGTCTTCCCCCGGAGACGCGGATCGGGACAGAAAGCTACATGGATGACGACGCGGTCAGGAGGCGGGTTTGCTCAGCACGCCGAGGCGCATGTGACGCGTTTACACGAATGAACGACCTACATCGCACTCAGATTCTGGTAGCGATGAGCATTCTAAACTAGACGTCTTGTAGTGCATACTCGCACATGAAATGTGACTGCCGTGGAGAAGCCTGAAGTAGAAAAATTTGCCGTGGAGTGATCATCAGCCATGGTGAGATTTGTAGCGGTGTGGGTAGTTGCTTGAATCTGAAACACCTGATCAAGTTGGACCCCTTCTAACGCACCAAGCGGCCTGTGGGATGCGAGCCTAAAGCGTTCGGAGTAAAGTTAGTACCGTGTGTTAGTACTCAGAGAGGCTGTTCCTGACGATCTTGGAACCTAAGATGCGTGGCATGGACCATCTGACCCCAGATCTGCAGACTAATCTTTTGACAACCTATTACATCGTCGAAGGGGAATCGCAACACGCTCGCCTATCTCCATGCGTTGTTCCAGGCCGTCAGAGGGAACCTGTTGTCAAGCGGGGTTGCGGTGTTTGCTCCGCGCCTCCTATGTCTACTTCTCGGTGCATGACGTAGTGATGGCATTGTATAAGGCCCTCATTAGTTTTCGGAGGCCAATGAACTCTGTTGCTGCAACTGCACTGGCGGTGCAAATCTTGGAAAGAGAGTTGTAAAAGGGGTTTGATTGCACGCAGCATGCATCTCCCGGGTGAAGTGGCGATTGGACCTGGATGTGCAGTGATAGATTGGGGTGAGCGCCGGAGATGATGCAGGAGCAAATGCTATCGCCACATATGAAATGGAACCCTGTTTCGAAGACCCAATGAGGCGCTTGACAGCGAGATGCCGATGTAGCGATGCAGGCGGTGGCGAGCGGAGATGGACGTGTGGTGGAAGACAGGAGGGAGAGTGCGATCAAGGTGTGGCGTGGCGCCTCCCGGCCAGTTGCAGGGTCCAGGCGTCGGGCAACAACGGCAGTGGGGACGAAGCCGAGGCAATGACGCCATGTATCACGACTCACAACATGCAGAGTGCAACCGACTAGATGTCTGTGTATGCGGCCGATGTTCGGAGACACTATTCTATCGACCGTGCCTAGTTCTTTGCTAGCACCCATCCACCTAGCCAGAGAAAACCCGGGATGGCAGTGACAGCAGACAGCGCGCCTAAGACGCCCGCCATAGTCCCCCAGCCGCTGTCCTCCGCAAGAAACCCGGCCAACAGAGGTCCCGCCATGCAGCCGGCAGCGAACGCGGAGTTGTATAGTGCGTAAGCCTGCGCAAATGCACCGCCTTTGCCGAATCCTGGGCGTCCATCTGCGATCATCTTTCTTTCCTTGGCCTCAGCGACAGCCGATACCTCTGCCATGACCGGCGCGAACGTCATGCCCACAAAAAGCCCCGTGACCGCCAGTAACGCGCATAGCAGCACCTTGTCCTTCATTGTGTTCTCATCGACAAACCGGAGGCAGACGAGGGGAGGGCAACCCCCAAGAAAGCCCACGACAACCACATAGCGCCCTCCATATGTGTCACTCAACCAGCCCCACAACGGCGAGAGGAAACTCGGTATGACGATCGGAAGGAAAAGAAGCGCAGCGCCTGTCGAGGACCAGTTGAATGTGTTGGCGGCGTGGATCGCGAGGACAGAGTCGAAGGCCGTCAACAATGTTGCTTGAATGAGCGCACAGAATAGCGAAGCAAGCAAGCGTCGGGAATACAAGAGTGAAAGCACTGGAGGAAGGCGATCGCGCACACGTTGCCGAAGCGGACTTTCTTGTTGCGCTTCAGCAGACGCCGCGTCTCGCTGAGTTGTCGTCCTGGTAAGACCTAAGCTGTCGCTTCGACTTGCGATGGCGATGGAGCCTAATTCTTTGTCCTCTGAGGATGCGTCTCCCTCGCCAGATGAGCGTCCCATGACCGTTGCGTCCCATCTCGCAGCCACCTTCTTCTCCACGAGCAACAGTCTGAGGATCACATCCAAGCCGACTAATGCATAGCACATGCCGAAGACGGCATTATAACCAGCCTTGTCATAGACTATGCCACCGAGTAGAGGCGATATGAGCATTCCGATAGACATGCCTATGGTCAGCCACCCAGCAGCAGTTGCGAGTCGTTCCTGGGGAACCGTATCAGCCAACAAGGCCAGGCCAACGACCCATACCACAGCTGCCGAAGCCCCCTGCAGGAGCCTTCCGACAATCAAAGCTCCAGTCGAGTTACCAAGGTTCAGCAGGATTGTAGCTCCTAAGAGAACGAACAAGCCCATCAGAAGCGGAAAGCGACGCGTCGACCCGCGGTCCGCAAGCCATCCGCATATGGGCGAGAATGCAAGAAGAGCGGCGCCATATACGGCAACCAGTACCGAGACCCAGTACTGAACTTGGTCTTCCTCGACATGACTACGCGAACGTATTGCGAATGGGATGACGGGTACAATGACGCCGTACAGAAACATGTCCTTCTTGAATCAGCTCTTGTTCTGCACCTAGCTACACCCGCATTGAGGACTTACTGTAAAGACGGCCAAAGACACAGTCCCGATGATGAATGCATCCGAGCTTCTAGCTTTGAGCATAACTGGTGGCTTGGATCCATGCTGCGTCAATGACGACAGCCATGAGGAAATCGACATGCTGTTCTGTACTGCTATTGCTTGAGGCGTCGCAGAATCTATTTGTACAACAGTCCCCCTGTGAGGACCCGGAGCAGTACCACGGTTCTCATGCGGCCCCTCATCTAAACGATCGTCCATGGATGCGAAGATTGCGGTACGACGATCACGTCCACACCACGCAAAACTGTCCTCTCGACTCTATCACTGACTGTCAGCAATGCACATTGCTGCGATTCAAAAGATTCCGGGTCGGTGATGGACGATGCGATGCAGTATTCGTGGCGTATGTGTTGGTGCTCATGCAACGGCTCTCTTCGTGGCGTGATCCCAGCCTCGTTTTTGCCGCGGCCTTGACTAGCGTATTGCCTGCATGGCACCCCCCACCTCGAGACCTCTTCTCTACAAGCAAGACTCCAACTGTCTCGTCGCCCATATGGTGTCATTCAATTGCACTGCCGAATGGCCTTTACTTTTCCATGAACGAGTAATGTCCGGCCATGTGTGGAACATCGTGGCAGCCACGGGAGAGCCGTACCGCGCCACGTGCCTCAGCTGTGCGGAAGATAGATCATGCCGATGGAGAACGGACTGCACGGTCATTTGGTCCGGACCAATCTGTGAATGATTCCGATGCTTTTGCTGGTAAAGTGCCGACTCGTCTTGGAGCGCGTGTGAGGAGCCATGATGGACTGACCAGACTTTTTGGCAAGGCAAGCGCGTGTACATCGTATTGCGCAGCTGGCACGTGGCGTACCTGTTGCGACGTCTGGTACAAGACCTGCGTTCATGTCTCCAAACTGGATAGTGAGTGGATTCTCAAGATATGTACTGGAAGAGCTTGTACGTCGTTAGAATGCTAGGGTGGACGTACTGCGACATTTCGGTCTCAGCCTCGCCAAGTGGGCATCTCTTCCCATTATATATCGACCTCCCTCACTCGGCTCTGTCGGCATGCTAAACCTCGCAATATAATCCATGACATCACCGTTAGACTGTTTCTTTGCTTCTTTTTGGTCTCCTATCTGTATTGCCATCACAAGTCGCCGAACCTTTCCACCAACAGTCTTGCTTATTCCGTCGGCACGTCTTGGGAGCATGTACTTTGGCCTTACCCTTGTGAATGCGTGCATGTGTTTCAGATGGACAGCCTGCGAACTTCAAGTAGGGGGTATAATTAGACAGAATGCCATTACGGTGACTGAAAGGATGCATTGCGTCATAAGCTGGCTACCTCTCGGATTGGCTGGTCAAGCACTCCTATTCTTTCCTTAGTTGTCTCATACACATCGGACGTTTCCAGAAAGAAATATGGAAAGCGGCGCTCTGAAGTCGGGCGGTTTCGTGTGGTAACTACCGACTTCACTTTCTGCCGGTTCCATCAGTACCTGGCATTACCACCCGATATCATGTACGCTTGAGGATCAAATGCCCATCCCCGTCAACGAAGTACGAAAACGAATGACTGGTAAGACTACATTGTCGTAAGAACTTGCAGACTTGCGCTTTGATAATAACGTCGACTTCAGCGCGTATGTTCAGTTTACGCTCATATGAGGTGCGTCTCCGTGAAGGCCGGCCGAATTTGGTTACCATGCTGATGGACCCAGCTTCTATCCATCTTAACAAGCCATGCGATAGCTCTGCTACTCTACTTCACACCTCTTTCTTTGGGGCCCTTCGTTAGAAGGGGGCTTACCATCGTTATCTCATTGGCATTATAGGGGTTGTGAGTGACTCGTCGTTTACAGGTCATCGCAGTACCGTGGTTATTCACTTGAAACTCCACTATTACGTCATATTGTGGCAGCCTGGACCTCAACTCGCTTCTCCTATCTGAGACGAGAAGGACATTAACGCACAGACACAGGTGACCCTTGCTCACGCAGAGCCGCAGCAAACTGTCGCATACAGCAACTCGTCCACTAAACCCCGACGCTCAACACCCACGGCTCCTCCAAGATGGTACGATTCAACCCTGCCACGCCTGTTCTAAGCACATGCGCACATCCCGTACCGACCACTCTTACTTCCAGGCTCCCATCGCCGCAGCTCTGCCCATCATGCATGATAATTTCACAAACCCGAGAGATCGAGGCTGTACAGCAACAGTTTGACATGCGCGGTGGTCTTTTCCAGTCCAAAGAAGGCGGGAAAGGCGACCATGCGAGCCCTGGCCACAAGGCCGTCAGAAGGAACTGGCGCAGGGCAAAAATTGCACTAACCAATACTGTGGAGTTGTTCGAAGACTTACTCAACGACACAAGTGTGCCAGTCCAGGACCTGACCAAGCTGAGAGAAGCGCTCAATATTTGGAACTACAAGAAGGTCTTGCTGGGTAGAGTGCCGGGTCTAAGATACGTTGACGGTGCAGAAGAGGGAGAGCCGACCGAGTTGGAGAAGGAGGGTGCGCGTTTATTGATGGTATGGTTGAGGAAGGTGATCGAGAAAGAGATGGAAGAAGAGTGGAGAGACGAGTCAACATCATCCGTGTCCGCAACAGGATTGAACGAACCCCAGCAGGTGCTCACGATGCCGGAATCAACTGGATTGGATCCGTTAGTGGAAGCTTTGCGCAGTCAGCCACCGGAGTCTCAGTGGATCTCAGCACCAGAACCGGAATCGAAAGAAAGTTTAGACGCACATCCCGCAGCTACAGCAATAACTGCGACCCCGCTGGCATCCGAGCATAACTCCGCGGTCCCAAAATCGATCCTCAAGCGCCTACGCACTCGCACCATCCCAGGCAGCCAATCCGCCTCACCATCGCCTAAACGGGTCCGCACAACAGATTCGGTGACTATATCACCCGAGCACCATTATGTCGTCAACCCTTCGCCCTTCCAGCCGCTCTCTCGCACTGCAGTCGTGCTACCCCACGCCGACCACACACTTGCCGAAAACCATCGCCCGCGACCTAAGTTCCATCGTACAACTCCAGCCTACACACCTGGCGCATGGGCATCGGAGGCTTTCAGCGAAAAAGTGAATACTAGCTTCCTTAGCATGTCGCGCGAGGATATGGAGAAGCAGTACGATGAGGATTCAGCAGAACAAGAGCAGGAGCAGATGTTGGCGGATAAGCTGAAGGAGACGAGCAGAGGCTGGGTGGCGCTTTGGTGGGCGAACAAGGTTGCTCCGCACTTGGACCTGGAGAAGCTGAAGATGGAAATGTTGGCGCGAAGTGGAGAGACCAAAGTGAGGTAGACCACTGCACTTGGCTGTGGTGTGCGAGGGTGTGCGAAGCTCAAGGTCGTGATTGCCGCTACGAAACTAAGGATTCGACCTTCAGGAAAACACTAGGGTTTGAGACTACTTGGGTCGGGTGAGCATTCTGGGAACTGCTTGAGACGCTTGTATACCCCTAGACATGATGAGTACGGGCGCGCGGTATTGACCGGTTTCTGGGGATCCGGTGCGCCTTCCAAGGTCTGCTTTCTTTTCGTTTAGATGACCTGGGGAGCGAAGCCGCCTGGCATTCGTTTCACATGCGAAAGCTCATAAAGCTGTCGAAGGATCGCTGGTGATGGAAGCGACATTTGATTCCAAGCATGAGCGAGGGGGCGCCATAGCGCCGTGTTGGACGCAAAGCTGGGGCGAGGAGATGGGGCAACGCGTCGTCGCGTCAGGCGTTCCTGCCGTAGCGCGAACACCCCAGTCGGGAAGATCTCCGCAGCTACGTCACAATGGCTTTTCTAGAAACCTTAAATGTAAACACTTCCTCTCCATAACACATGCATCTCTATTGTAGCGGAGGCCACGTCACGAATCAATATCAATATGCCTGCTACACAACCCAGCGCGAATACAGGTGAGTTCATGGACGCCTCCAGCTAGCTTATTGTGACGCTCTAACCGATTCCACTAGCGCAGGAACAGAGCCGAAAAGAGGAGAACAGCGAAGTGGAACTGGGAACAGAATCGGAAGCTGAGAGCTCAGGCGCAGAGGACACCGACGAAGAAGACCCCGAAGCGCTGCTCGAAGAAGTGAAAGCAGATCAAGCTAAAGAAGAAGAAAAGGTCAAGGCCGCCGCCGAAAAGCTTGGGGACACAGAGCGCAAAGTAGGTGACATACGCGGAAAGTGGCATCTCTACTCCGCGCAATGGGTGGAAGAATATGCAGGCAAGGAGGGCCAAGACCTCGAAGATAACGACTGGACCGACGGTGTCGGAAGCATCGAGTTTGGAAAGCACCTTATCGTCGAAGATTTCGGTCCCTACGCTGGTGATATGGGCATGCAACTCGAGATCTGGGGTGGGCCTGTAGACGCCCATGCGACCACGTTCAACAAACCGAAATATACATCCACGCTTCCCGAAAGCGTCCAGCTCTTCGATGAGGGTGAAGAAGACCAGATCTACGTCGAAATCAGGTTTCTCGGAGATGGCTACTTGGAGTTGCACATGGATGGTATCTACTTTGCTGGGATTCTGGTCCAAGATCGGAAAGCTGTGAAGCGCGCAGCCGAGGAATTTGATGACGAGTGGCGGAATTGCAAGTATACCAGGCATACGCACCCGTCGAATATGCTGGCGGCGTTTGGAATGCCCGTTGACTTGGAAGACTCTGATTCTGGGAGCTTTGACGAGAGCGACGATGAGGACGATAACGAAGATGGAGAATGAGAAAGCATGCGATCTCTGAATCTGTATACACTTCAACCTTGCCATCTACGACTTTGTAATATATCCTTCTGGTTTTGCAGTGCGAGGATCTCTGATAGTGAATTCGACGTGTGATGACGACGTGGCGTCGGGCCGAACCCAATGCACTACTCTTGGTAGACCAAAAACAATGCAACGCGTCTCGGCGCGACCCTCAACCCGACCTTGAGCATCACAGATTATCTTTCTCCACCAACGAATCTCCTTCTTCCATCTGCGCATAGACCTGCATAGGCGAAGAATCGAACCGTAATCCTCTCCCTGGAGTGTTCAAACCAGAAGAGCTTTGTTCCGTTTCGGTATGGCGACGTGGCATAGTCACGACGGTGCGAGAGGGTTTGGCCTACATACTGGTATGATGCCACGACTTTTGTTGAAATGAAAGCTTACATACTCTCAAAGAGGTGCCGGTTGTAAACAATGAAGAAGAGTGCGAAGACGGAGAAACAGAAATGGACGACGAAGAGGATGACTACGTATATCATCAAGAAGTTGCTGCAGAACACAAGACCAAAGCAACTCGTTTCGAAGATCAAGCACAAGCTCTCAAGGAAAGACTACAAAATGGCGAGAAGATACCTCTGGGAGATATCAGCGGCAACTATACGCTTTACTCTTCTCAACATTTGGACATATATGCTCAGAATCCAGACCAGTGGTGGGAAAGGAGAAATAACATCGAAGACTGGGAAGCCGGAAGCCTGAAAATCGGTAGGCAATACTTAGAGCCACTGTTGCCTAAAGGTGATAAAGAAATTGGAGTCAAGCTCGATCTCATGGACGAACCGGAAGACGGGTTTTGGATGGACATCAGGAGCCCTCCGCAGTTCGCGTCACAAGACCCAGCTGGCACGTTTGCCTATGGCACTGTTGAAGAGGCTGCCTTTGATTGTCAACTCATGTTCTTGGGTGAGGGTGTTTTGGAGCTCTGATTTCCAGGCAACAAATTGAGGTGCAAAGGATTGCCCAACTATGTGCGTTACGTTGGTGTCTGGGATGCGATGGACGACTCGGATGACGATCTTGATTATGATTCGGGACCTTTTGGATACTGAGCAAGAATGATAATAAGTCGGGGACTTGTTGCTGTGCTATCGGCAACTGCAAGAGCGAACAAGACCTTGCCGAAACATATGGTTACCAGCATAGCGAAGTCGCGAATAGAATACCTCAACGATGAACCTTCATTGACGTAAATTCATTAGCAACAAAGATCTTGTCATCGCGACGTATCCAAATCATTATCCCGCTCCCATTCTCAATGGCATCCCAGCGCCTATCTCAGTGGCCTTCCGTCTGTGACCTCTCCGTACGTCGGATCGTCGTACTCTCCAAAGCAAGCGAAGTCGTAATCCGCAAGCTCAATCTGCTTTTGCTGGACCTTCAGGAATGTCTCCATCTCGCACCATCCGTCGTCTCTATCACCACATTCCTTGTGACTACGACCCAGTGGAATAGTCCTCTGGTTGAGAATGAAATGAACGTAGCTCGTCGGCGGCCCGTCAAGATATATCTTCTCGTCCGTCCGGTTAGGGTTGACGGGCGCAGGTGCTTTGATGACTTCGATGTCGAGACGACCAGCGAACGGTTGGAGATGCGAGAGGATGAATTCGCGGGGCGTCTTGATGTGGGTTGTGGGAAGTACCTCGCTGAACTGCGTGATGCCGAATGCGACGAGAATACTGATGATGCCGGCATCGTGGCTAAAGTCCAGGTTGAGGTTCTGATCGATGGGAAAGGTGACCGTGTTATTGTCAAGGGTTACGTTGATTTGGGCAGAAGGGGAGGTGATAACGTGGTGCTGCATGCGGGCGAGGACTTCCTCCACGTAGCCTGTGCAGTATTAGTATAGTGAGGTAGAAGAGGCATCGTCAATCCTTACCGATTCCAATAGCACGACCGACTGAAGAGCCAAATCCTGTGCCTGCCTGGAATGAGAGATCCAGGGCGTACTCGTAGCCTTCCCACTCCTCGTAGGTAAACAGGCCGCACCAGTGAGAGAAGCCAAGCGAAATTGTCTCGTACGAACACAAAGCTTGAGCGTTGTACGTATCGGTGATTGTCCAGTCAAGGTCACCGGTGATGTTGCTTCTGAACCTCTGATGGGCATCGTGAAGATACACGCCGATCCATTCCATGAGCCCTTGTCGCGCCGTCGTCCAACTCGAATGGTTGCACTGCTTGTAGCCAGCAAGCGTATTGTTGAAGCCAGGCGCCTCAATAGCCAGCTCAAGCGTCGCGTTTTGCGCCCAGCCTAGACCGAAAAAGCCCGCAAGGAAATACTCCGCCGATTCAGTCATGCGTCGTTGGGTTGTACTCCGGACGATAACCTTGCTTCCATTGTTGGGATACAAGTGGCCATACTGGTAGTAGTGCAGAGTACCAGAAGTGAACAGCTCTTGCTTGCCATTGGGAACGAGGATCTCAGCACCCAGTAGGAACTGCCAATCATTGAGGAACGAAAGGGATCCGTGACCTGTGAACTTGCCAGCCGCGTCCGTGAGCTTCTTCCCTAAAGTCCGCTCTGCAGCTTCACCACTGACTTCGGGGTACCGACTTCCATGGCGATGGACCATGTTGAGCCATGTTACGTTGGTGCCAGGCGGTATAGAGTACTCGTTTACTCCGAAGCCTCGAGGATTAGGAAAGTAAGGGCTGATGTTTGCCATACTTTGGAATATGTTCTTGTTTTCCGCATTGCCAGCAATGGGGATTTGTGTTTCCAGAGGCGTGTTTGGAATGTATGACACGCCGGCAAAAGGTGCTAGGTTTGTCTGCGCCATGAACGGTGCAGCGCCCGTCTTGGTAGGACCTTGGAAGTGTCCATCGTCCGTGACAAAGTAGTCTGGAACAGATGACTTTGTTGGTATTGCTGTGCGAGTGTTAGTTGCTGCTTCAATCTGCTGGCCTAACCAGTAAGATTAGGGAGTACCGACACTTCACATCCTGTTCGCCTTGAAGAGGTACTTGAGCCCCAGATCGACCTGTTCATAATTAGTGACTGTTAATTTAAGCCACAGCAACAGTCGGTGGCTAGTGGGTGAGGCGTACGCACCGAGATTGGCCGGGCTAAACGAGTTGAGGAGCTGCAGCGAGAGCTCGAGGATGCCGTGCATGGTGGGGTAGCTGCGAGCTCTTACTCAGCAACGTGCAAAGTCCAGGTCTAATGAGGTAGGTGCGATGGACGTTCTGCAAACAAATCACCGCTTCACTACACGTCGCTGTCGCTACACTGGAGTTTTCGCGTCCAGATTGTTAAGAGACAGCTTGAGCTTGGGCCAGGAGTTGGAGTTGGCAGTGACGCAATGCCGAGGGCTGTCCAACACGGTATCCTGGACCATATCGCCCACATGGGTGTTTCGCATTCCGCTCACGCTCGAGAGTTGAGAAATGTGTACTGCGGACGAACTGTTCTTCGTGCATCATGGTCATGTTTTGACTCATCACGCATAGGATACAAAAAAGATGAATGCATGCGCCGTCGTGTACAACAGCATAGCTGCGAACAGCTGGGACGCATGGCAACTGATTGTTCCTGACCTTAAATCGCATTTATATGGTTGATGCACCTTCAGGGCTTGATATGAGGCGGGAAGGCTAGATGAGGGTGAGGCTAAATGCCTCGACACCGGATTGTCTCCACGAACCCTTATCTGGAGATTGCGGTCAACTACATTCACGCAACTGCAGATCGATCGCCGATTTCTCAGACCAATGTTCTCCGAAGATCGTTGATAAATGGCGATCAATAAGAGAATCTAAAGAGTTTGTCGGGACCTCGCGTCCGCGCTTTAGTTGCCTCATTAAGTTCTGATATGGTCTTGACTCCTCGGCCACGGAGATGGGCAACGATGATCTTCAGAAAACTATGTTTGTGGCCGCAGGGGATCCGGGGAATCCCCAACTGTCTGGTCTGGAACTGCCACATCCGAATCAAGTGGGGAAAGACTGCTAATCGATATGGCAGCGCTGCATACATATCTCTGGTGTCGGTGTGTTCAATGATCTACCTACACCGTGTCTGATGACTGTCTCTTCGAATGACGGTCACCTTTTATATCCAGTGAAGGGAAATTGGCGTTTCCAAAGTAGATATATATAGACCTCGCACACCGGAGTTGAAGGCAGTTTTCGTCCAGTGCACAGAGGCATCTGGATACTGTTTCTTCCAGAGGCCAGGTCTAATAGGTATATATCGTATGTTATAGGGACGCGTGGTTGTCGGAATCCACCATCGGCGAATTTATCGGTGTCTCGCGTCCAGCTCTTCATGCCCCGTGATGCATACCAGGCGTCCTTTGCGAGTTACATCACCACATCCCAGCGGCGTCACTCTGCAACACAAATCGCCGCACTGTCTCCGAATGCAGCCCTACCGGACATATAAACCGCAGCTCCACAATTGCTCGCACGCCGGCGCAACAGCGGCATGTTGTGACTTGGTTCGGCAGCGATTGATTACTGGGTTCGGCAGCCTTCCATGATCGAAGTGTCGTGATTGATGTCGCCTTGTTCTGAAATATCAAGTGAGGTGTCGGACCGATACAAGTGTATTGGTTGCGTGTACCAGGTGGACCCTGGACATCATGAGCATGACTCAGGTACCATCTGCTGGAGAACCACCGAAGAACGAAAAGTGGACACCCTACAGCGAATTGCCGGACCAGCGATGATGCAGAGACAACGGGAAGAGTGCTAGTAGCATGCAAACCGATTGATTGAGTGAAATAAGCGAGCTGTGGTGACCGTTTTGTTGAGTTGGAGATGTCGGAGATGTTGGAGACGTTGGAGTAGAAAGTTTTGCAGAAGGAAGTCAAAGCAAAGCAAAGCAAACGGTATCCCAGTGGAAGGACAGTGTGATGCAGTCACACTCCCATGCGAGTCGCGCAGAAATGTTAATTGTCATGATGTCTTGCAGGCGCGTCGGCCTGTCGCTCTCACGTTACAGAGCATGTGTGTCGCCTTGAAACCCCGTGCGGATCGTCGCCGACTGAAAACAGCAGTGGCACGCTGGCAAGGTATGTAGACGCGTGGTGAAGCATGCTGCGCAAGGCCGGACCGAATAAAGCAAAGATAGTAGTTGCAAGGCCGGCATCAGCCGGTCCTACTCGAATACCCGCGGGAAAATGACACTCGTTCCTCAGTCTTGCCCCAAGCAGCCGTGTTCCCGAAGGATCGTCGCGAGGCAGAACAGCGGTGACCTTTGGATGCTTCAGAAAGCTCACCCAGCGCAAGTCGCAACCTAGCGAGATGCGGATCGTACCGGCGAGGTGGAGCTATGCGCGCTGAAACAACTTATTGATAATGGGGAAGCGGTAGGCCACTCAGACGAATATGTTTTCTCACGTTGGAACGTCCAACGTCATGATCCTGGAGATCGCCGTTGTCCAATGCAGGAGAAGTACGGATTGGACAAAGTGCGACAGAGTCGCGGCGGAGGCGGGAAATGTTCCATGCACTTATGACAGAATCACGGCTGTCATATTGCACGAAAAGAAGCTCTTGGCCCGGCGCGCAAAGGTCGAATAGAAGCACCGTGAGCGGTTGCTCAGCGGCCAGGGTGACGTGCTGATCAAACGAGAATTTCGTCATTGGTCGTGGCATAGTGCGGAGTCAACGCACACGAGATCTAGGGGTCTCTGGCGCTCGCGAGGGAGTGTGAGGGGCTGGAGACGAGGCTCGAAAAGGGCTTTTGTGTGTGCCGGGCGCTGGCTGTGTGCGTGCTGGTGGTGCCAACGGGCGAGGATTGGTGGCAACGGCAATCTACAAAATACCATGCAAGCCAAAATGGCAGGCCAACGCCGCCGCCGCAGGGTCCCCTTAGCCGATCTTATATATTTCTGGTGCGCAAGCTCGACGAAACGGATGGCTCACAAAGAGGGATCAGCAACCACGCCCAACACGAGCGGCTGGTGATGTGCGCATGGACAGCATGACCCGCAGTCAGTCGGTCTGTAACGCGTCGCTGTGCGCTGTGGGTACAATACCTAGGTAGTGTGGGCGGAGACAGCGTGGTGGTGATGCACTGCTGTCTGGGTGCACGCAGCGATGAGGCTGCCCGCTCGCATCGTGACTTTCAACGTTGGACGCAGGCACCGTCGTCGCCGCGCCCAGCACACGCGCAGAGACGTCAGCGACGACGCCATTGGCGGTTGACGGAACCCACGGCAGTGTTCAGTGATGTCAGCCGCCCGCAACGCGCAGCCGTGCTCAGTGTGCGGTGGGACGTGGCGGAATGGGGCAAGTGATCAGCTCTCCCATGTCTCACAGCGGCCGGCGACGTCATGCACCGCTTTCGGCCTTCATCATGACCTCTGCAGTCGCAGCGCCGCAGCGACGTCTTCAACCCCCTCGCCCGCGCGCACGCCCTGAATCACGCCGACAACACGGTCCACGCTGCGCTCATCCACTGCCCGCACCACATTCGCCAACACGCCCCAGTTGCCCTCTCGCAGGCCTGGCAATAGCTGTTCGGCCATCGCAGCGCTAATTGACCGCTTCTAATCATCCGCGCCTCTGGTGGGTGCTTTTGCCCTTGCCGATCAGCAACGCAAACCTTGCCTGCGTGTCGACAACAAAACACAGTCACAGTCGTCTCGTGAGTACACGCCGCTGGTAGCCATACGAGAGCGCTATTGCCTGCTGCCGCCGCCGCCACCCCGAGCTCTGCTAGGAGCGCTCGCTGCGTGCACATTCGACGCCCGCGCGCAGGGATCCTCGTCTCGGGAGACCCTGAAGCATTATCTGGCTTAGCGCGGACAGGGGCCCACCCACTCTAACATCCTTCCACATCAACCGTGTGGCTTTATCTTGGCCTGAATCCACCCACGGCATACTCTTGCCGACGCTCGCCCACCTGGCTCCATCCCTAACCTACACTCTGAGAGCCGCACTATACTGTCTCGTGCCATGAACCCGCACATTTCCATCACCTCCTACCCGTCTACTTCAACGCAAGACGACCGCCGCCCCTCCTACCCCGACGACATGTCGACTTCCTCCTCCAACTCTTCCATCAGCGACCAGGAGATGAAGAACGACCCCACACTACAGGCCCGGCCCAGGCTAGGGAGCAGAAAGTCGAGCGGCACCATCATAATACCCCGCGACAGCCCCAACGTCGAGATGAAGGAGGAAGAGGAGGAGTACGACGACGGCGATGCGCGCACCATGAGCCCTCGCCGGAGTAGCGAAGAGATTGAGAAGATGGGCCAGGATGCTCGCCAAGCTCTGATAGAGTAAGTAACTCAACCCTGCATCTCCACGCCCGTGGCATGCAACGCTGCGACCCCCCTCGGTGTCGCTGTCGCCCACTGTGCTACCTCTCTCGTTTGTGTGCGCGTTTTTGACTTTCGTCCCAGCCCTTACCAGACTAACCGTTTCGCTAGACAAGCAAAAGCCCTCCAAGCCAGCCTCATGCAGATTGTCGACCGCGTCGAAGTCGTCAAGAACGAACACGAGAAGCTCGAGGGCGGCAACAAGTTTCTCCAATCGTACGTACCTCCCGCATCTCCATTGTGACGAGTGGCTAACGGCTCGCAGATATATTGGCGAGCTGATGCAGACCAGCAAGCTCACCTCCACGGGCGCTGGCAAAGCGTCCAAAGTCAAGGGCAAGGGCAGGGTTATCAAATAACAATCAGTCCTCGTACTCGTACCCACAGGCGCTGTGAGCCTCCACTACGTCGGCATTCCTCCCAGGCCCCGACTCATCATGGACGCCACTCGGCTCTCGAACCCCTACTACCACGCAATCATGATGGTCTACTGTCTCACATACTGATCATCACCACCTCCTTCCAATACACGAAACACGCACGTTGATACCGCGTTTATGAGCATCTGCATAGCGGCACAGGATTGGGGAACCGGCGTTCGTCATTACACTTCGATTCAGCATACAGCTTCTGTCTTACCACCCTTCCGACAACCATTTGAACTCGGCACCGCTGGCTCAGTGTTGTCGCACTCGATTTTGCGATTATACCACGGCACATTGCGCCCTTGACCATTGGGTTTTACATTACAATAACTTTACACTTTCACCCGACCACTTTACGGGGCCATGGCGACTACGGTGTTATAGGAGTTCCTGTTTGTTTCCATTCTATACCAT